AGATATTTACAAATCTGCTGCTTATTTTTTTTCAGGAGTTTTGTAGGTATTGATGTCAAGCTGATCTGTAGTTTCCTGCATCCAGGTTTTTTTTTTGTCATTTTTTAATATTAGAACCACATTAGCTCTTTTCCGGATCTTTGGCAGTTCCCTTCTGCTCCAGGAGTTCTAAAAGATTTCATTCAGTGGTTCCATGATCACATCTGTGAGTTACTTCAGTATCCTGGGATGTAAATTATATAGTCCCGGAGAGCAGAACTCATCCAAAGGAGATAGGTGTTCTCTTATCAATTTTGCCTATTTTTGACCTATATTTCTGTTCTGTTTCCCACAGTGCTGCTTTTGATAGGTTGGGCTATTTTTTCTTGTTGCATAAAGACAGATGCAAAGAAGGAATTAAGCAGATCTACTTTCTCCCTGCCAGTTTGACCTATCATAGGACAGATTTATGCAAGGGTGGGTACAGGAAGAACAACTCTGAAGGAGTCTGATGGCATAGGCAAGAATGATGAAGAATAGCAAATGTAAAACAAGCAAATTAAATACAAATAGCATTGTGCTAGATTTCATGAGCCACTGAATCCTAAGTATACTTGGAGGTAAGTGCTAGTAAATCTTCCTTCTGAACAAATAATAAACGTTATTCTACCTCAAATTCACATTTACTTTTAAACAATTCAAAAAAGGTTAATTACTGATTTTATTGGGATTGTGTAAGGGTAGGAGTGGGAATATGTGGTTGGTTTCTAAAGGTACTTCGATGCAAGAATAAAAGCACATCCTCATCCACAAACTGATGTTGTCAACTTTAATCACAGGCTGTCTTGTCTTTTGTTTCCCCCCCTTCGTGTTTCTTGTCTTGTATATTCCATTTTATTCAGATATTTAGTGGATGATGAGGTCATGCCTTTGATTTTTCTATTTTTAGCTCTAAAATAAATTTGCAGAAGAATTTTATAAAACTTTGTAAAGGAAAATGTGCAATTCACAACTGAAAGCTGCTTTGACAGCTCAGAATATAATTACTTTGAATAGAACAAACTAGCCTTATTACTGTTTTTTTTAAAAAAATTCTGAAGTGGTTTAAACTAGAAGACTACTTTGTTTAAGTCTTATCAGTAAGAGCAAAAAGTAAGAAACAAATTAAACGAAAGAATTGATTTAGAGTAATCTCCTAGGACTCGGGGAGTTGTAAGAGACCTAAGTTTAGAATCATCATACAATTGTTAAAATAATTTTCTTAGAAGTGTAATAAATATTCTAAATTAAGAAAGTTGAATACAAAAGAAATAAAATGGCCATATCTATTGGAATATTTAGCTTTATTTTTTTTTTCATGTCAGCTCTCTCTGTGCCCCTGCAAGTAATGCTGAACTACATTTCTGAATGAGTTTAATTCCTAAACACATGAGAAATTCTGGGTGATTCAGAGTACTTGCTCTCCTTCCGGTAAACTCTGAAGATCTGGTTTTTCCTCCAGGCCTTGGATTAGGCTGAATGGAGGAGGTGGTAGGTCTGTGTGAGAGTTCACTTGTGGGTCATTCCTTCCAGGTAAGCCATTGTTATATTTTATTAATTGTTTTTCATCCGCCCAGGCTCATTTGCAGTCAGGTACCCTTATAAATATGTCAGATAAATAGTATCCCTCAAATCTTAGCAGAGCACCAGGTTAGAAAATATTACTACATTCTCCATTGGAACTAATTTTGTTTTTGTTTTTTTAAAAGGATGGTAGTTCATCATTACAACGTGGGGGAAGTATACTGGAATTATTTGCATTACTATTGAATAGACATACAGCTATTGTATAACATATTGCTCTATATTTATTTACTTTTTTTGTTCCTTAACAGAATTGTGTATGCAACTAAATTGAAAACCAGAGATAAATATAGATTGCAGAATTCATTGTTTAAACTAAAAATAAAAATAATCAGAACAAAGTTAACATGTACCACTCTGAAATAAAATGTCACTATTGTTGCATCTATTAGGATTTTCACAAGTTCTGCTACTCTTCATCAGGAAACATATTTCAGAAAGCAGAATGAAGAGAGAAGAGTGAAACAAAATAGAGAAGGCTACCCTGATGAAATAGAAAATATGCATAATTGAATAGTTTAAACTCTATTATGAATTAGAGCATTCATGTTATGTTAGATGAGCAGAACTAATTCTCCCATTTTTTAAAATACATAATCTAGTTGTTATTTGAATATGTCTCTAGTCTTAGGTGAATATTCTCTTGATAGGCAGTAAACTAGAGGTAAATCATGCCATTTAAATAGTATATAAAAATGATTGGCTGACATTCAGTATTGTTGTCTCTGTAATATGCCATGGTAATAATTCTAAATGATTGAGAAACAAAATTAAAACACTTTAATTATAAATTAAATAAAAAGCCACTCATTTCAATTCAAAAAGATTGCACCATATTTACCTGAAAAAGTCAACCTTAAATTTAAGATACTTCCCTTCCTACCAACCCTAAAGGCAAACAGACAAAAAAACTACAATGCAGGCAAAAGCCCTGTGGCAAGTTCAGTTTCTTCACATGGTCCAGTAGAGGTACTAATTATATTTGAATTCAATACTGGAAATTTCCCCTTCCTTGATAAATGTATACATACATGCATGCACGCATGCATGCACGCATGCATACTTCTAGGAGCACGAAGCCGAAAACACCAGCCTAAAAATGACGAATGGGATTTCATCGAAATGTTGCCAAGACACTTCCAATTTGACGTGGGAGAAAACCTGAATAACCAAAGACCTACATACAAACACTCACGAATTAGAAATCTTACTTGAAAAAATAACAAAGATAGGACAAACAAAAATGCTAATTGATTAAAATATTAATTAATAATTATTGATTATTAATTACTGATAAAATAAGGTACTGAGTTTATAAAATGCATATACAACCATTAGGTTTTGGCACACACAAATCATTCATACACAGAAGCACACAAACATATCTTTCTACTTCCAGAGAAACAACAAAGAAGAAGGAAACAGATGGAATTGAAGTGAGGGGAAGGAGTAGCATCACAAAGGAAAAAAAAAAGAGAAATTCTGCTTAGACTTTAGAAAAGGGATTAAAATTGATCAGAAAAGCATCTTTAAACAAATCTTCAAAGGCATCCATGCTTTTCAGCAGTGATTTGTCCAGTCATTTGCACCATGTCCCCATTTCTTATTTTTTATTTTGTTCTCAACAGCAGTTTCTTTTCTTTTCATTCAATTCACAGGTAAGTATTTTGGAGGAAAGCTTTCCTTTCTTGGTGAAAATTGTATGCAGGTATTGAAACATCATAAACATTGGAGATGGATATAAAACAGCCTGAGCCAAAAGTACAGCTATGGGAAGTCTCTATAATTAACTGTTTTAGTGTACCTCCATTGTGAAAGCACGAATGCTGACATGGGATTCCACTTTTGGTCATTTCTACAGGTTACAAGTTATGCTTGTCTTGTATAGTATTTTGCTTACTTTGGCATCTTGTTTTGACTTCCAGAGGCTGGTTCTGAATTTTGAGACTCTTCTAGCTGCAACACAAGCGTAGCAATAGGCAAAGGGGGGGGGGGCTTTTTCCAATATCCGGCTGATAGAAGTGAAAGAAATGCAGAAATGAAAACCAAGTAAATTTTAAAATGTTAATTTTGACATTTTGTAATTAATTCAGGAAAACAGTAGGGCAGAACTGTTTGTTGCAAACTTATTACCTCTGATGGTGTTATACAGTGTTCTTTGGACCCTTTTTATATACATGGAGTCCAAATTGTCCCACATTCATATCGTCTCCATCAATATTTTCAGAATTACAGTGCAAGTCTTCTCTTCCTCATGCAATACAACTTCTGGAATAATAGCACTGCTAGACTGGAATCTCTACTTTGTTTTAAACTTTGCTGTTTTGAAGACACAGCAAGGGTATAGTTTAACATGATTTTAGAGGTGGGAAGAAGTTGGGCAAACATTGTAGAGCTTCTTTTCCCAACAAACCAGGTCTTTTAGATGAGTTGGAGTTTAATCTCCCTAAGCAGAAGTATCACGTCTGGTCTGCAAATATCTGGATGCCCACCAGATGGCAACCAAAGAGTGCAAAATACTCCACTTTTCTTTGCTCTTTCCTGGACATCTGGAACATTGCAACCCAATCATACTATAATAGTTCAAAGAATGGCCAACTGAAGTCCAGCACATATGGAGGTTACCTAATCTTTGGATCTCCTTTGGCTTTTATTTTGATGGCTGACATTGCTGCAATGATTAAGTCTATGTTCTGTTCAAAAATTATTAAGAGGCATTTTCTGAACATGATACTCGGTTTAAATCAGAAGAATCCTCAGTGTTTTAGTGCTTCTGTTTGAACAGTTCACAAAAACTATCTGCTGCTCTTTCAAGGCTGTAACCACAGAGAGCTGTTCCATTCTATTTTCGGTGATTTCAAATGCTTTGGAGGACTGCTTGAGCTATTTTACTGCTGAATAGTAATCATTCATCCAGAAAAGCATTTTAAATAGCCCAGCACTAGTATTTTGAAGAGGAATTCACAGATAAATTAAACTGCAGTATAGTTTGAACCAAATATGGGAACATTAAATTAATTGTTTCACATATATACACAAAATCAAAGAAGTAAATGAAACATTTAACCTGACCAACATATTAAGTCCTCAGATTTTAATGATAATGATAATCCCTTCCCCCAGAAATCAAAATATCTTTAAAAAAGCTTTAAGAAAACATAACCAGATGAGAGATCCACATGGAAGACTTTTAACACAATAATGATTTTTGGAAGGAAAAACAATAAGAAAACTGTATAAAGTCAATTTGACTTTGAATTTGGCATATTTCTCTACTAAAAGTCTGAGTCCATGTCAGTGTAAAAGTGTCTATTAAAGAACCCTCTAAGCATTGAAAAATATTCCCAATAAAGAGTTTCAAATAAATTTAATAGTTTTTCTTATGTTCTTTTTGGCAGGATAATTGAAGCAATTTGCATCGGCTGGTTCACGGCAGAGTGCATTGTGAGGTTCATTGTCTCCAAAGACAAGTGTGAGTTTGTTAAGAGACCACTGAACATCATTGACTTGCTGGCTATCACTCCGTATTATATTTCTGTGCTGATGACAATTTTTACAGGGGAGAATTCTCAGCTTCAGAGGGCTGGAGTCACCTTACGGGTTCTGAGAATGATGAGGATTTTTTGGGTAATTAAATTGGCCCGCCACTTCATCGGCCTTCAGACACTTGGCCTGACTTTGAAGAGATGCTACAGGGAGATGGTGATGCTGCTCGTCTTCGTTTGTGTTGCGATGGCAATTTTCAGTGCTCTTGCCCAGCTTCTTGAACACGGACTGAAAATAGGAAAACCCAATGAAGGCTATGCGAGCATTCCTGCTGCTTGTTGGTGGGTTATCATCTCCATGACCACAGTTGGTTATGGGGATGTTTGTCCTATCACAGTACCTGGAAGGATTCTTGGAGGGATTTGTGTAGTTAGTGGAATTGTTTTGTTAGCCCTGCCTATTACATTCATCTACCACAGCTTTGTCCAGTGTTACCATGAGCTCAAGTTCCGGTCTGCTAGATGTAGCAGGAGTCTTTCTGCGGAATTTTTAAATTAACAAATAGCACATATTGCATTTCATAGCAGAACTTAAAATATTGAAGAAAGTAGTAAGTTCTTCTTCATCGTTTTTCATCTTGGTGTCTGAGGAATTATGAAGCTGGTACAATACTCTATGACTTAAGAGGAATATCTCCCTACTCTGTTTGAGGGATGGTCACTTGCTCTTCATCTCAGAAGACCTGAGATTCATAAGGGAGAAAACATCTTCATTTTCATAGTCTCAGCGGTTGTGAATGTTTCCAACTCATTTCTCCAAATCCTGAGAAGTCCTAGATCATGGGTGTCAAACTCTCCGCATCACGTGATGTGTCATGATGTATCACGACTTTTTGCATTGCCGGAGCTGGGGCGGGTGCGGCCTCCGCATGATGCAATTAGTCCACGGGCCGGCAATTTGATACCCCTGTCTAGATAGTATAGTATATTGTGTCTGTGTTTTTAAAATACTCTTTTGATTTTGAAATGCATTTTAAATGACATATCAATAAGAAGTGTCCAACTTTTAATTACCAGGACCACATGTGACGGCATGTGAATTGTTAAGGGCCAGGATATTGGGATGCAAAGGGGCAGAGCCAAGATATTCTTTCCTCCCCCTTCAAAGTTTTGATCAGAAAAGAAGAGTTGCTGTTATTTTACAAACCATGATAAGTCTATTTTAGGGCATTCTGGAGATATGTCTCATGTCAAAATCGCAGAAAACGATGCCACCAATTTTTAATAACTGTAGTCAGAGGTGGATTCGGAGCTACAAAACAAATAGTCTCAGGATGGAGGGGCAAATATATTCTCTGAAGGCTTAAATTGCTCCCTTCATAGATACAAGCAAACATACTCACCCAAATACATGTTTATTTTTTTTAAAAAAAAATACTGGTCAGATCCATGTTTACGTAGAAGAAATCCATGAAAATGACTGAAATTTGTTAGCTATCACTATTTTGTGCAATTTATTTCATTGCATTTTTTCCTAAGTACAATTTAATCTGTATCCGACATAATACATACGGGTCTTGGTTTCAGTATAAGGAACAAAGTGACTGGTATTGTACACTAAGAATTATGGGGAGAATTGTGATTCTTTATTTTGAAACTTACATGAAAACTATTCTTGAAAGTTGGGTATCTTGATTTAGTGTGGGAGGACAAGCTGCTTTTCTGTGAGGAAAAAGCTACCGTATTTTCCGGCATATAAGACGACTTTTTAAACCCTGAAAATCTTCTCAAAAGTTGGGGGTCGTCTTATACGCAGGAATATATGGGTAGCTGTTCTCTAAATTTAAAACCAATCTGCCCCCTAGTGGCCAGCCCTATTTTTTTTTTAACAGAAATAAGCACTAACAGGACAAAGCTTTCTAGCAGCAAAGGAATGGAGCTCCTATTGTGCTCATCTATAAACAGAAATTCAACATTGTACTGTATTTTCTGGCATATAAGACGACTTTCTAAACCCTGAAAATCTTCTCAAAAGTTGGGGGTCGTCTTATACGCCCAGTCGCCTTATACGCCGGAATATACGGTAATCAGAATTGGTGAAATACAAATTGAACAGTAATAGTAGTTGTAATAGTAATAGTAGTAATAAAGGACAATCTTCAGAGTACACCCAGTGAAGTTCCCTAGATTGCAGATTTTTGTTTATGAGTTGCAATTTATAGCAGGGGTGTCCAAACTTCTCAACTTTAATACCTGTGGACTTCAATTCCCAGAATTCCCCAGCCTGTCAAGTCTTAAAGTTGCCAAAATTAGACACTCCTGATTTATACAATAGTACAAATATTTTTGAGAAAAATCATTGTCTCCCTTCCCAAAAGCTGCTATTGAAAGCAAATCCTAAGCCTAGTTTAAAATCTGCCTGCAGAAAATTGACATATTTTGAAGCCCATAATGTCCACAAACTGGAGATTTGAAAATATATCCTTGCTAGTACCATGCATGCTCTTTTTTGTCATCACTTCCATTTACAAACCTTGCACATTCATCCACAAGGTCAGAAAAACAAAGTTTGAATAGATACATAATAAGATAAAGGAATAATATTTCTATTTCTGATCTGATTCTCTTGAAAAGTATCTATATTTTTCCCTATTAATCATATGTAAAATACCCTCCTTATTCTAAATCCTTTCAGTGATGTGAAGAATGAAGAACATGGCAGTCAAGTCATGACTGCATTTAATGAGATGCTTTATGGTGCTACTGTCAGGAAATAATCTAATTTTGTTAAAGTCAAGTAACTCTGTATTAAAACATTTAAGATCAGAAAAGTTTCCACATTAGAAATTTACAGCTTAGATGAGAATCTGTCATCTCTGAGGTTTTTTTCTGATATATTTTTCTGTGGGCCTAATTTTTTTCATCCTTTTAAAAAATGTCTAGTATTCCAATCCTAGTAACTTTACATGGCAATAAGTAAAAGTGATGCAATGGAACCAAAGATGAATTATTGAAGAAATCTGTCATGAAACATAGCTTCAAACTTTGACAATTTGATAGATGTTTTCAGGGAGGGTTTGCTTTGTGAACTAAACACGACTTATGCAGCAAACTAAGCTTCATTATTATGAAGACTTGTAAAAAATACCTTGAATTTCCCCATATCACAATACAATACCAGGGAGACAGTTATTGATGAGTTCAAATTCTTGCTGTTCCTTGACATGATTAAACAGCCTTGTGCAGCTTTTTGTCTCACAGCTCAAATCAGGGATTGTTAAGAACGTTAGAAGATCCTGGCTGGATCAGGCCACGATGGCGCCAAGTCCCCATCTAGTCCCCTCCTCTGTCTCACAGAATGATCAGCTGGATAGCTTTAGGAAATAACCTTCCCTGGCTATTGTTTCCTAGCAGTTGGTATTTTGAAGTGTCTATCTGGGATTTGGAAGGTAATATTTAGCTGCTCAGCCTTTTCAGCACCCTTAAAAACATAAAAATTTGTGACTATTACTGTAGTCGAGGGCAACAAATTTCATAGTTTTAACTACCTGTTGTACAAAGAAATGTTTCCTTTTATCAATCCTGTTGTGTGAATAAATTGGATAATGCCATAACTCAGACCTGAGTGCCTTGGAGGAAGGATAGTTACAACTGTGACAGTAAATATACATAGTTCTCTAGGGAAATTGAACAAATACATACTTGATATAAGGAATAATTCTCCAAATTAAATTTTGTGTGGAAAAGGGCAATTGAAGAATAGACTCACAAAGTAATAACTATATTCATCTAGTTTCTAGAGAAAAAGCCCAAACTGTCTAACTATATTTCCCCTGAGATTGTTTTTATAATCATAACCACTAAAACCTTTCCCCTTTTTTAATATAATAAACATATTTTGGATTATCATGAAACTTATATTAACTATGTTGCATTCAATGGGATTTATTATCTTCAAGTCCAATAGTGATCCTTATTAAGAGAAATATATCTAAATAAACATCCTTCCAAATAATTTATTGACTAAACAAATTAAAATAAAACTCCACTGATATGCAAAAGGAGTTGCTAACTCAATGTAAGTTGTATCATGTAAAATACAGCATGTGTTCTATATTAAATGTAGAACTGGATTTTTTTAAAAAAAAAAACACATGTTCTTACATTGTACTACTTAGTGATACGATTCATATGACTTGAAAAGCTGCCATAATGACCTGGCTTTGTGCAGAAGAGGAATAAGAAATAATAAGCCAAAGAAATTAACCAATTAGGTAAGAAAAAGGAAAGTCAATATTGCTAACTTAGTGTCCATCTGCACCATTCAGTACTCTTCTATCTTTCTACCCTTGCAAATCATTGCAAAACATCATACATCCATACATCATGCATTGTCCTTTGTTCTGCATAATTCTCATTTCTCACTTTTGAAGTTTTCATCAACTCTACCAAACCATGACTTTCCACTTGACCCATTCACTCTTCCTTCATATATTTGTTTTGCAATTCATTCTTATGACCAAACCAGCTCATATTTTTATGCTGTTCATTCACTTGCTACCTTTTCCCTAAATTGGAAAACAATGATGTCGTCCTTCCCCAGATGATTTTCACTCATGCATTAGGCAAATTACAAAAATTTAGAATGGAAGCTACATTCCTATTTTAATATTTCTCCAGTTTTATCATGTTATCACAGCATTTATTAGTTCAATTTTTCTTGAGTGTTGAGGGTTTTTTTAAAAAAAATCCTGTCTTTCAACATACTGCTGTCATTCCCATATACTTCTCTAAAATTCTTGTTTCAGGATTACCTCACTTCAATTTCATTCTAAATCAGCCATCAGAATGGCTCTGATTTTCTTTTCATTTTTCCTAGATGTTCCTTGCTCTCCTTGATGGCAGTCTTTCCAACTTGTTTTTCCTATTACTTAATACCATTTACTTGTGTGTCTTATTTCTCAGTCATAGCCTCTTTCATTTCATCATTTCACCAGGGATTCTTTTTCATAGCTCCTATATTTCTATGTTACTCTGAAACATTATTCTTTTCATTCAATTCCAAGCAGTTTTTACATTCTCTTGCTATATGTTCAATTTTCATTCATTTTGTTAAGGAAATAATCTATAATATTTTATAGAACTCATTTCTCTTCTTGCAAGTATTGTATTTTCATTACAAGTTTTTTTGGCATCCTTTTCTTTCATGTCCATTATTCTATCAATTATTTCATGAATCTTTAAATCATAAATAATTATTCTGATCCCTTTTAGTCAATCTTTTTTCATGTGTATGCATGAATACATATGCTTAAAACAAGTATATATTTTTATACTATAATAATCTTGACTCTCAGCAGCATGCAAAGATAAAACATCCATTACAAACATTAATGCACTAAAAACAGAAATAGAATAATAAAACCCTCAAAACCAAACAACATACATTATGAAAGGATTATTTAACAGTAAACCTGGTTTGCTATAATGGATGAGGTCCTGGACTAGAAACTAGGAGCCTTTGAGTTGTAGTCCTTCTTTAGGGACAAAACCCCACTGGATGTCTCCAGTCCTCTCTTTAGTCCAAGGTTTGTGGAGGTGATAAGGAAAACAGTAGGCAGGAGCATTATGTACAAAATAAAGTCAGGATATTATAATAACAACTCATACTAATTCTAATTTTAAAAAATCTCTGGAAGGGATATATTAAGTCTTATTTCAGAGATAGCCTATTCTATAACATGGCAGCATGAGAGACAAGTACTTCCTCCTAACATCTGTTCCCTTTATTTCACAGTCCTGGGGAATTATCTGTATTTTTATGATGCTGTTTATATAGGATGGATTGATTCTAGTATTTGAAATAATTAAAGCTTTTTCTAAGACTCTTGCCAATCACCGTTCTCATTCTTTCCTGAGTCTCTGAAGAAGCCATCATTTTTCTTCAGTTTTTGAGCAGGACTTTGTCACCCATCCATTCATGTCAGCTAGCAGAATAGTTCTTTCTCCCCCACCGCATTACATTAATTCAGAATGTGGCACAATTTCCCCCAAAGCCCATCGCTGGTCTTTCCATCATCACCATTCTCCAAAGCACAAATGTGTATGAAATCTAGGTGACATTGATGTAACTTCCTGAGATACACTCATAACTGAAACTACCCCTTCTCTTGGATTCATATACTCATCAGTTACCCAAGTTCCGTCCACATTCATTTAGCTTTGTTGTCAGCATTACGATTATGTTTTGCATATCAGACATTTCAATGTGATGGGTACTCCTAAGAAAACAATAAAGTTGTGACATGTCTGTAATTTCAGAATATCTTTTCTTTCCTATACATCTTTATCAGCCAGAAGCCATTATTTATTTAATTAACTTGTTCATTATTTATTACTGAGCTTCTGTTACTTCGTGTTGGGAGAAGCTGCCTATCTGTACAAACTGGTATTCACATTTTAATCTATGGAAAATCAAAAGAAAGCAATGGAATAAGAAATTTAGTTGTTTTGTTTAATCATATAATGTTTAGATAACTGGACCAAGAAGATCTACATGGTCTTCAAAGCAAATTTCATCACATAAGAAATGAAATACAAATAATAAAACAGGAAAATGTGATGCTGTGATGAAAGATTAGATATGAAATAAATCTATCAACACCTACCTGGAAATAAATTGTTATTGCATGTAATGAAAAAATTCTCTAGAGTAAGCATGTCTAAGATATTCTTGTTTACAAAAAGGGGTCAGCAGAGTAACTTAATCTTAAAATACTGAATCCATCTAAGAAATTTAAAAGGTATTTTGATATTGTGACTGATTTTTCTAATAAAGAAATTTGAAACATA